AAAAATGAAAAAAATAAAACCAAATCAGAATGATATCATAGCTAAGCTTGTACCTAAAGTCTAGGAATTCTGAGGGATTGCTAGCAATACTGTATACAAATATACCTTCCATCCACCAAACTGCGTTCCACATACCTCTCAGTATCAAAATATTAAATAACATTTTGATTTTAACTTCAAAAGATAATGGTTTTTTTTTTACTAACGTAGCCTTGACCATACCCTTAATTTATTTATGAATAGGATACAACCTATTTGAAAATAAATTTAGTGAGTAAACAATTTTTATTTAATAATATATTAATAAGCAAACTGATGTGTTGAAGATGAACAGAACAATGCAGCAAGGTTACTGTTTATATACACTATTCATATCCAGTTCAGTTTCATCAAGTTGCTGAGAAGTACCTTTTGGTTTTCAATGTAATTCTCATGTTCATTGATGTAAATTGTTGCACCTAAATATATGATTTGGCTTTAATTGTATCCATGTAACATGCTCCCGCTTTAAGGGATTTACGTCATCAGTCAAATGGATTAGGGACATACTGCATATGGCTGGTATTGTTTTGTACAAAAACATACCAAAATTGATGAAAAACACATGGAAAATCAATGGTAAAATCTAAGCATCATCTCTAACTCAGTTTATGTTTTTTCTTCTTCTTTTGCATGTTTCTCAAGATTATCTCAAGTTTTATGTTGATTTAAATCGGTTTTTCCTAATTGATCTTACAGTTATTGATCTTTGGTCAATTAAACATTAGTTTCCTACATACTAGAGATACGGGATGATCTCCAAGCTGTGTATTGAAGTTGATCTAACCCTTGCCAGGCAGTTGTAGACGGTGCAGGGGTCATCGTTCAAAGTTCTAATTTATTTATTTATTTATTTATTTATTTATTTGTATATCTAATAATGATAAATTATATAAGAGAAAATAATCTTTTCTTTCTCTAAATCCCCCCTCACTTGGCAAAGTTCTAATTTAGTTGTATGCTATGATGAAAGAGTTAACTATATCTGACTGCATCAGTTTGTTGTCGCTAATAGCTAATTTTGGCGAAACAATTATGATTTACTGCACAAATTGAAATTTCTTCCAAGTTGCCTTACAACTCACGCTTGGAGGTGCAAAATACTAACTACGAAATTATGTTTTGAGTGAGCCAACCAACATGATAAAAGATGGTTGAAGATCATGTATGTGAGATTGAACGTTAACATATATTATTACTCTTTTTTTGTCTCTGAAATCTGTTGTATATTCCTAAAGGAGGTTATTTACAAAAGCTGTTTCAAACTGCATCCTAGCTAGCAAAGAAAGGTGGAAATCCGGAGGAAAATAGCCTACTTTGGAGTTTGGATTTCTCATTAAAAATTGTAGATGAACATGAATTAGAAGTATTGTCCAACCAAAAGAAAGTATGTAATCTAGTGAAGAATGACGGCTAGGAAGAAGCAGAAACTTTTGCCAAAGTCAACTCTTTCTGAGAATGATAAGATATTGCCTTGCTTTCCCAGATTGTCTTTCTAAGCGTTCAGTGTTCAAAGGTGCTATGAGTTTGATGTCTCTCCATGAAAGGGTTCCCTGATTCTGCTAATTGCAGAGTACCGACGACCCTTGGAAAGATTCCTCTATGCTTTTCTCTTTGAGGGCACTTTCCCCTGCTTGTCTTGTTTCTTGCTTTGCTTCCCAGATTAGTCGGAGCAGTGAGACTTCTTAGCTCCATAGGAGGTCTGCATTGAAAGACCAAACAATTAAAGAGTGTGATTGTTACAACCTAGCTTATTAACAATCTAAAACAGGCAAAATGAAACAACTAAGATTATTGCTTTGGTGACCATGATATCTTTTCCTAAGACCTTATATTATTATAATATTAAGTGTGCTTCAGTTTCTTGGTTAAATTTT